TCATCTCCAGCTGAGAGATGAGAATATAAATTGGAGATCCAGCCAAGAGGAAAGGGCTCTGCACAAATCTCTAGCTCAGCTAAGAGAGCAGCAGCTTGCTATAATTTGCAAGGCTTAATTGAGTTGTCATAGCAAATTGGAAAGACGTTTGGCAGTGGGTATCTATAGATTTACTTAGCTTCTTAATCCCTTCTCAGTAATTGTGGTGCCAGAATTCACCTTCTGTTCTGCTTTGAATTCACCTTCTGGCTAGATACAAAGAGATTAGATTAAATGGTTTTTCACCCTTCTTCCTAAGTAGTTCAGAAGGAATGATCTCCTGCTTTTTACCTTGATCTAGGGACAATACCTTTAACAAAGTCTTATGACTCAATTTCCAAAAAAGGGAAAATATGTTCTCCCTCTTTCTCTCTTTCTTTGTTAAATGTCAAGCTGTGGGCACTTGTAGTAGACACTTAATACACCACATCACCAGTACCATCCCTAGGTCTTACATTTTGGCCTGGAAACCTCAGGGCTTGGGGAAATCCCAAACTGGTAGCTCTAGTTACCAGTGTCTAGCTGATTCTCTAGTGACATTTTCTCCTGTCTCCAGCTTTTACTAGATCCCTCCCTTTAAATCATTTCCCCAAAGTTGGTAGTAAAATCCCCAGAGCCTAGAAAGTTTCTTTTAATTAGTTACTGCACAACTATGGATGGCTTCAAGATGTCATTATAGTTGTTTTTTCTTAGAAGTTGCTTTCCTCACTCTGAAAATTCCTGATTTGAAGCCATGTAAGAGTGTATTTAGCTTCAGCTTCACTGCCCCTTGTTTGGCCTTTCTGTTTTTCCTTCAGGGCTTTGGACATTTTTCTTAAATCAAGACCTCTGCAGTATCACACAGTAATGCCCTCTGCCTTCTTTATTTAAAGCATTCCTGTACCAGGCTTTCAGCTGGAAAGGCTCATAGAGCTGCTTATAGATCAATTAAAGTAACCAAACCAAATCATTTTTGCCTTCAGGCTTGCAGTCTAACAAGGCTTGAAAGAAAGAAAAACATGGAGGGGGTGGGAAGGAGGGAAACAAGAAAACTCAGACATCAGGTGGTGACTTTATATGGTTCTTATAATGACAAGCTCCAATAGACACAAGGTGCACAGAGTTCAAAAGCAGGCCTTGGTGAACATGCAAAAAGTCACCTAGTGGCCTGACTTTTCAAAAAGGGCTGTAATGATTGCATTCAGAGAAGTTGTTGATCTTACTCCGCTTGCTGAAAGCATGCTTCCCCTACCAGATTAAGGCTAGTTTATTGCTCCTTGGCAGTTGAAACTAGTGGCACAGATGTCATTGCTATGATAAATCTGCCCCAGACTTTAGTCTCCAATTCAAAAGAGATATCTTAGGCCCTGAACCCTATCCCCAAAATAGGCATGGTATCTTGGATAGCTACTTCAAAGTTCAAACTAGCATCCAGAGTTGATTTACTACATCTCTGACACAGGAGCCTCCAGACTCTGCTCTTTCTTGGAGCAAAAATGGATTCCCTCACCCTACAATGGTGGCTACCATTCCTCACAGTGATGACTTGTTGGGAAAGATGAAGAAGTGCCTGTGACAAGCATGGGCAGCATCTGGCATTCCAGATCTGGGTGCCCTTGCAATTCTCATTAGCCTTGACAGCATATGGTGAAGGATGATGGGAACTGCATTCTAACACTCAGGAGTGCCAAGAAATTGCTCACCCATGGCCTGATATGGATGGGAATCATGCTGCCTTCCCATATCCTCCAACATTTCACTTACACATATGGACAAGCAACATCAGAATGCAATCAAGATGGAAAGACTTATTAATGAGGAAGAACTGTCACCGATTCTTTCTCCTTCTCCCACTTTCCCCCTTCATCTTTTCTGTTGTCACCCCCAAATTGTGGAATGGCCTGCCGGATGAGATCCGTCAACTGACATTGCTAGACAGCTTTAAAAAGGCTGCCAAGATGGATCTCTTCTGGCAGGGCTTTCCAGGATAGATAATCCCAGCCTCTGGAGCCTTTTTTCTCGAGTCTTTCCTCTGGAGTTTTTCTTTGGAGTTCCCCTCTCTTAGGGGGAGCCTCTCATGCCCTCTCTTGAAAGGATTTGTAACGTGGCCGCAATTCCTTATGTGCTATTATGTTTATTGATGTTTTTTAAATTATTGTTTATATTGTTTTTAACTTGTAGCTGATTTAATAACTTTTTAAGGGGGGGAGGGATGTGGGTTGTTGATGTATTGGTTTTTAACGCTGTAAGCCACCCCGATTGACCTCAAAGGGGCAGGGTATAAATAAATTTATTATTATTATTATTATTATTATTCATCTTCACCCTCAGCTTAGTTCAGTTACTACATAATGAATGCAAAGTGCAAAATTGGTTTGCCTTCACTTAACTCAGAGAGAGGAGAGGATGGAGTCGTGCACTTCCCAGTAGGCTCAGGCAAAAGCACACTGTGGCAGTCTCTCCTAGCTTTTATGTTCTTCCCACTAGTAATTATTAACATCTTGTCCACACTGATGTTTCTTGGCCACATGGGTCCCATTTTCATCTGTGAAATGTTAGAGACTATAGGAGGAAATGGTTGAGTTTTCCCTAATTTATTTTAAAATGTAAATTTGTAGAAGAAATTAAAAGGTGTCATGAATGCTTTGTAGATTGAAAATACGTTGTTACTTTAGAAACTTAAAATTCACTATGTACAACTTGGCTTGGCATAAAAAACTAGCATCTGATATATTAAAGGTAAAGTTTATTCAGGAAATACAGCTGGTCCTCCACATTTGCAGCTTTGACTTTTGCAGATTTGATTGTTCAGATTTGATTCATATGTTATTTCTAGAAATGTCTACTCCAGCTTGACTCTGCCAGAGATTGATCACAGTAACACTGGAGGACCTAGAGATTTGTAGGTCCTCCAATGCAATTCTATGGTCAGCTTTTGACAGATGTTGGCCATAGAGTTGTGCTGGAGGACCAAAACATTCCTAGACAGTTGCTCTCTCTCTCAAAAGGTGGGAGTTTTTATTTGTGTTTTTTCCACTTTCTCAGGGGTCCTGCACCCCTAACCCCAGTGAATGTTGAGGGGCCACTGTAATTACAAACTGAATTTACTTTTTAAAATATGATTGTTACAAATTGAGCTACAAGGTCCTGGACTGTAAAGAACATCAAAACAATATGGAACCCCATTGCTTTTTCCAATTTATGAAGAGCAGGCAGAAAGAAACCACACACCCCACTAAAAACAGAAGAAAGCATCCACATTAGTAAAACAAAGAAAATAATGTTGTCTGCTCTAGTCCTTCATAGTGCCAAGCAGACATAAAGTATTTATTCTAATTTTAAAAAATACTGAGAAAAGGAAATCAAGACAGTGAATTATAATGATATGAGATCCTGTACATTGTTGTTGTGTGCCCTTATGCTGTTATGTGCTTTCACAACATGTTCTGTTGGGCATTGTCAAAATGCACTAGCTTGGTTGTGCACTGTGTCAGTGACATAGCTTCATCATTGTAAAATTACATATCATAGCCTCCAATGAAGGATTTATTATTATTATTATTATTATTATTATTATTATTATTAGGACTACCACTCTCCAAATCTAAATCTCTATACAACCATTAAAGGTCCAGGATCCATCTCCAGTTTTCCCTCTGGCAACCTTAGAGCCAGGAGAGACCTTCACCAAAATGGCGAAGGGTCTGGAAGCCATGCCCTATGAGGAGAGACTTAGGGAGCTATGAATCATAGAATCATAGAATCATAGAATCATAGAGTTGGAAGAGGCCACAAGGGCCATCTAGTCCAACCCCCCTGCCATGCAGGAACTCCCAATCAAAGCATCCCCGACAGATGGCCATCCAACCTCTGCTTAAAGATCTCCAAGGTTTGTTTAGCCTCGAGAACAGTAGGTTAAGAGGTGATATGATAGCCCTGTTTAAATATCTGAAGGGATGTCATATTGTAGATGGAGCTTGTTTTCTGCTGCCCCAGAGAATAGGACCTGGAGCAATGGATTCAAACTACAGGAAAAGAGACTCCACCTCAACATTAGGGAGAAGTTCCTGACAGTGAGAGCTGTTCAACTGTGGAATATGTTGCCTTGGAGAGTAGTGGGGTCTCCTTCTTTGGACGTCTTTAAACAGAGAGTGGATGGCCATCTGTCGGGTATGCTTTGATTGTGTATTCCTGTATGGCAGAATGGGGTTGGACGGGGCGGTCCTTGAGGTCTCTTCCAACTCTATTATTCTAAGAGAACTATGCAGTTTTCACTCTGGCAACCCAGGCCTAGGATGGCTCAGTGTTACCCCCCCCAAAAAAAAACCCACTCGGTGAAAATGCCACCCCCTCTCCCTAGTGGGCATTTGGTGTTATTTGGGGCCCAAACATGAATGTTTGTGTGGACAGTGTGCTGCAGGGGGTATGGCCCTCTAAGCTCTCTCAGATAACTCTGTGGCCTCCAGCCTCCCAAACTGCCCACCTGTATTGTAGACAGCATACTGTACCCTGCCATGTTGAATGTGCCTTTTTTTGATGAATAAACACTCCTTGTCATAATATAGACTTCACACATACTTCCTTATGTGCATCGTCTTAGCTAGAATTATCAGCTTTTCATGCGACCCTATAAAATATTCTTATCTACAGGGACAATGAGGAAGAGGGCTCTGAGAATCTGACTCGTCCTGAAATGACTTACCAGTCTGAAGTACCGCTACATGTCCCCCTTTCTTTAGGTTTTACAAGCCTGGTTCGTTTTAGGCTGTATTTGCAACAGTTACTAGCAATGTGTTGGACTTAAAGCCACATGAGAACATTTCATGGATCAGTATCAGCTTCCCTTCCCCTCAACATGGTCTTTCAACTGTAGGGTTTGGGCCATTTACTTAACATGTTTGTAACATTTTGTAACATGTCTGCTGTTAATTAATATGCATTCATCATTTATTTTAAACATTTCTAGTTGCTCCTTATAGAGAGCCAGCATGGTGTAGTGGTCTGGGTGCTGGACTAGGACTCTGAGGGACCAGGGTTTGAATCCCTGTTTGTTTGCGGAAGCCCACTCTCATCTCACTTATTTAGGGAGATGTGATAAAGACCATTTAACCTAGGTTCCTTGCTTCTAGCTAGAAGGTGGAATCAGAGCAGGGCAGAAGGTGAGCCTGGTGCCACAACAACTGGAAAGGAAGCCAATTAAGTAAATCCATAGACCTGCTGGACAGTATTTCCAAATTGCATCAACAAATCAATGAATCCTTGAAAGCTGGAGCAAGCTGATGATGTCCTAGATCAGTGATTCCCAAACTTTGGTCTTCCAGATGTTTTTGGACTTCAGCTCCCAGAGTTCCTGTTTGTTGGCCAAACTGGCTAGGGCTTCTGGGGGCTGAAGTCCAAAATACCTGGAGGACTAAAGTTTCGGAAACACTGTCCTAGGACGTTATCACACGGGGTCTAAAGCAGCCCCATCCCTGCATCATCGCTGCATCATTCCGGATCCTTTGCCAAAGTTATCAGACGATGTCGCAGAAAACCACGCCCATCCCTGCATCATCCCTGCATCATTCTGGATCCTTTGCCCTGTGATCAGACGACGTTGCAGCAAACCCCGCCCATCCCTGCATCATCCATCCACCATCGCTGCATCATCCCAGTTCTTTGTAATTTGTCTTTCAAAAAGGAATTACAGCTGCCGCAACCGGAACCATGCCGGAATGATGCTGCTGCTGCTTTCTTGCTGCGCGTGTGATAACGTCCGACGTCGCGGCAAACCCGCCCATCCCTGCATCATCCCTGCATCATCCCTGCATCATCCCTGCATCATCCCAGCTCTTTGTAATTCTTCTTTTAAAAAGGAATTACAGCTGCTGCGACCGGAACCATGCCGGAATGATGCTGCTGCCGCTTTCTTGCTGCACGTGTGATAACGTCCACAGATGAGCTGAAGATTTGCACCAAGCCCTTGTCTCTTGGATGAAATGATCTGGAACATGTCCTGGATAATCATGATTTAGTGGTCTAAGTAAAATTTTCTGCTTCTGTGAGTTTTATAAATTTCCCTCATTTTTGACCCACTCACCCCCAACATCGGCAATATTTCTGACTTGAAGCCATTTTCCTAGTTGATCTTGGTTTCAGCATCACTGTTCCTCCTCCTTTAGTTCTTTGGGCCATTTTCTTAAGAAATGGAGCCACTGTGGTAACATTGTGAAATGTGCCTAGTAATATTTTATGAATTATTGATTGCTTTATCTTAAGACTTGGTATTTAGTGAAAACAGCTCCCACAGAAATATACATGTTACGTTTAAAATAAGATGTAAAACCTAAGAACTCTTTGCCCTCAGGCTTGCAAACCAAAGAGGCACAAAACTCTAGGAGGTAGAAAGTGCTGAGGGAAAGAGAAAACGCTCAAGAAACATGAGCTAACAAGGATTCCTAGGGTGGGGTTGTCCATGAAACAGGTGATTCTGGGAAGGGGAGTTGGGTAAATCACCAGACCATTGTCCAAACCTGTCCATTTCCCAAGTGCCTAGGCATAAAGTTGACTTATATTCGAGTATATATGGTACACACACACACACAACCAGCCATGTTGCAGAGAAAATGGCCTTTCAGAGATGGCAGCTTTGACCTCCTGCCTCCGAGTTTTCCCTCCTTCCCTGATGCTGCTGTGCTAACAGCCACTTCCATATCCTCCAACTTTCCCAATTTGGCAGAGACTGTCCCGATTAATCATCCCATTTTTTCTGCTGCTTCTAAAATACCAAAATTTCTTATCATTCTCTTCCTTTCCCTCTCTGTTTTCAGCTTACTTCAGTTGATGAAAACTGAGTTCAAAGTGCAAAAGTTGTTCGCACTCAGTTAATGGAGGACGTTATCACACGGGGAGTCGCGGGGAGAAAGTGGAAATAAACGGGCACGAGCGGAAGTCTTTAATTTACGGGATTTGTCCCGTTCCACCTCGTCTGATAACTAAATTCAAATTTAAAAGGGGGTTAATTCAAACGAAAACCTAATCTTTTCATTTTTGGGATTTTTGAGGATTTGAAAAGATCAGGTTTTTGTTCAAATTAACCCCCTTTTAAATGCGAATTTAGTTATCAGACGAGGCGGAACAGGACAAATCCCGTAAATTAAAGTCTTCCGCTCGTCCCGTTTATTTCCACTTTCTCCCTGCGACTCCCCATGTGATAACGTCCTTAGAGAAGAGAAGGGACAGAGTTCTGATCTTCCCAGTCAACTCAAGCAAAAGCAAACTGCTACAGCCTTTCCTAGTTTGTGTGCTCTTCCTCATTAATAACTTTTGCCATCACTAACACATTTTGATGCTGCTTGGGCCGTACATGTTCCAGTATTCCCCTGGTAGAAGATATGCACATTTGCCTTGCTGTTGTTTTTGTTTGTTTGTTTGTTTGTTTAATGTCTATGCCACCTTTCCCAAGGCAGCTCACAATATAGAAACAGATTAAAACAAAATTTTTAAAGACAATTAAAATAACCTAATTTAAAAACTACAAAGTTAAAATGTAAAACATACAAAAGTTAAAAACATAATCTAAAACAACAACCCCCAATAAAACCACGCTTGCATGATTTTAAAAAGCCTGCCTGCATAGGAATGTTTTTACCTGCTTAACCAGTTGTTAAGCTCACCCCGATCAGTGTAAGAAACAGAGGAAGCCTTCAAATAGAGAGAGAATTCTCCTTCTTTTGACAGCCAAATACAAAGTTTTCTTCTGCAAAATAAAATAATGTGGCCCACCACTTCAGGGGTGACCCAAATCAGACCTTCTGAGGGTGTTGTAGATACCCTTTCTGAAAGTTTCCCTGAGCTGGCAGAGAACGCTTGGGCTGCATCCACACTGCAGAAATAATGAAGTTTGACACCACTTTAACTGCCATGGCTCAATGCTATGCAATTCTGGGAATTGTAATTTGTTGTGGCATTGACTCACCCATCAACAACTGACTGACTGTATTTACTCTATGTACTCATGTATAAATCTAGATTAATTTTAGTCAAAAACATTGACTCAAAAAACCCAAGTTGACTTATCCACAGGTCAGTGTAAGTATTGTACTTTACCTCTTATTTAAAAAGGAACCATCCCCTAGCAAAAGGCAAGAGTGTCATTTGTCTTGGAAGCATTGTCCCTATTCTACTCTCTCATCCATCCAGCCTTTAGTGTGAGCACAGTTATGCTTAATGGAATTCTGTAAGTTCTTTGACACTGTTTTCCTTTACTTCATCCTTTGGATTCTTTGTTACATTCACCTAAATTTCACCCTCAAGTTATCCACAGGTCATATCACAATCCATAATGTTGGCCACAAAAACCTGCCTTTGAATTATGCATAAAGTCGACTTATAGTCAATATATGGTATTCTGTTTTGGACTAACCAACAAGATGCCAGCTGCTGTGTGTTAATGTGGTGTGTGTGTATATGCGTGTGTGTGTGTATGTGTGTCTGTGTAAGAAGGAGAATTGTAACTCTCTGTTTGTTTATCTATGGGGGGGATGTAGACGGGCCGCCCTGGGAAGTGGAGGATTGGGGCCGAGGCTGCCCTACACCTCGGCCCCAATCCTTCTTTCTACCGGCCCTGGAAGGAGCGCTAAAATGCCGGTCCTTCCAGAGCTGTCACAAAGGGCGCGTCAAGAGCCACCACATGGCTCTTCTGCGCCTCTTCTGGTACAGTGCATGACAACGCTGCTCCGGAAGGAAGTATTTGGGGTGTGCCCCATGCATAATGGTGTGCACCCTGATGACATCCTTGGGGAGGGGTTGAGGCAGCTGCCGTGCGGCTGCCCCTTCCCTTCTGTGTCTCCAAGATGGCGCTTTGCCCTATCTCTGAACATGGAAAGGGGGTGCAAGCCAGCACTGGTTCCACCTTGTTTTGACAGTCTACCACCCACTAATTCCTGGCAAGTTACTCCTAATGTCCCAGTCTGTGATCAGTTGGCTGTTGGGCCAAAAATATTCCCCTCAACTTCCCTGTCATTGATGGACGAGTGATGCCTTCAACCTTCTGCAAGACATCCTGGCTTTGAAGGACTGAAGGAGAGAACTGAAGATGATGGTGTCCTCTTCTAACTCAGAGACATCTTTCCCTTCTCCCAGTCTCCAGGTCCACTATGACAGTGAGTGGAGCGACTACGTGGGCAGCTCAGCTGGGACTTAAGGAAGAGATCCTGGAGAGGAGTGAGACTGTCACCCAAGTCTCTTGGTTGGCTGATGACTACATGGCCACCTACACCTTTCCAATGCCAGCTGCTACATTGACATTGCAGCCAACTTTGAGAAACAGTTGGCAGCCAGTGGCAATTGTGGCTGCCACTGCCTCCTGAAGCTGGCTGCTATGTGGATGTCCTATCCCCTTCCAAAACATGGGGCAGCACACAGCAGCCCCATGTTTTGGAAGGGGATAGGACATCCACATAGCAGCCAGCTTCAGGAGGCAGTGGCAGCCACAATTGCTTCCCCTCCCACACACACTTTCCTTCTTAAAAAGGTGGCATTTGGCAGTGGGGAAAACAGATCAAACAACCATGGATTGCCAAAGTACTATTTTGGAGAAAAACGTGATAAGAAATGATGGCAAACCAATATTATATGCTTCCATTCTTAAACTAGCACTATTGTGGCAAGACAGCAGGTAGATAAAGTCTTTAGTTATGAATCCATAACTATAATAGTGAATTCCAACCATCTCCAATGGGATGTAAGTCCACAGCTTGAGGCGGATATGTAAATTTTCTGAAAAACTATCAAAAAGATTGTCCTCTTTTTGAAAGCATGTTCTTGAAAAGGTGTTCAATCAAAATCAAGTTTAAAGAAAATGAACCTTCAAAGAAAAGCTGAGAGGTCTAGTCTAAGTATCAAACACACAGGTCAGCAGGCCAGCATCTTACCTCCTGCAGTTGTTGAGGTCCACTGTTATGCCTATTTAAATATTGATTATCTCTAAACTAGTACCCAACCATGCAGATTAGCATATTTGACCTCTAAAATGGCTTTGTCATAGGGGTACTCTTGGGTCCTTATAACCATTTAC